CTGGATACGTTCAGAGAAATAGGCAAAACCACAACAAGTTGCAGCAGAAGTTGCCCATTAAACTGAAAAATTCAAGAGAGGATTGTGTTCCCAGCCCCATTTCTCAGAGGTAAAAGCAGCTCGTGTGACATTCCTTTGGCACCGTGGCACGGGGGCAAAACCACTTCCCACTTGTGACCACTTCCCTGCCTGTGCATTCATTGCCCAAGAGTTTTTTCAACTGTAAAACTCGTGAAGGTGAAGGGGTTTTGTGAGTGAATGAGGGAGAGAAAAAAGCCATTTCTGAATGGTCATTTAAAGCAGAATTTCCTTCCCCTCCTGCAGCAGTTAGAGGTGTTATGGGAAACCTGTCAGAGCATCCTGGGTAGTCCCAGAACTGCACAGAGCCCTGGTCCCCAGGGTGTCCAGGAGGTTCCCCATGGGCAGGTTCTGCTTTGGGTGCTCAATGTGTTGCTCTCAGACCAGTATCCACCAGCAAACCCTGTGGGTACCAGTACAGCTTAGAGGCAAAAGGTTCTTACAGCAAATGGAAGAAATTGTGATGGGCTCAAGAGTCTTAAATAAGTTATTGTTTATTATCCTTCCCTTGCAGCCATTATAATTAAATTGATGTTGTCCATGGATGGGGAAAAAAACATTTTTTATGGCCATAAAGCATTTAATGGTTCAGCCCCATCCTTAATGGAAGAGCAATGACTCCTGTCTCTCCTGCTGGGTCACTGATCTGCCCCCTCTCTGGCAGGAGGGAACCCAAACATTCCAGAAGAGCTTCCAGAGAGGGTCTGACACTGAGTTTTAGGTCCTTGGTGTGTCACAAACACGAGCCCCTCCTTTCTCTGAGGGAAATGTGCCTGTGTAGGAGACCTGCCTTGCCCAGGAGCTGCTCCCCTTCCCCAGCAGAGTGACTGGGAACCATTCCTGGGTGAGCTGAACAGTCGGGCAGGGACTGGATCTGGGATTCTCTATTGTAGTTCAGCTGCGGCCATCAGGTGGCAACCTGATCACTGGGATCATCCTGAGCCGGAGGCTCTTTGGGGTGGGTGTTCTCTGGGGCTTTCCAGTGCCCTTTGTGACTTAGAGCCGTGTCTGCCAAGTCCTGGGCATGTCCTGCTGGCAGCTCTCGCCCCGGCCGGGGCAGAGTGGGAGTGAGGAGCCTGCAGAATTCCCAGTGGGAAAAGGCAGGGGGGAGGGCAGGTATTTCTTATAATTTACCTGAATTAAGTTACGATGAGCAGCACAATACCCTGGGGTGATGAAGCCCATTGGCTGGTGGCAGTAGTTGAACACATCCTTGATTAATGTGAATATTTGTGCTCATGGCTGAGCTAGGCTGTGATGTTGGTGATCCATTCCAGCTCCTCTGGTCTGCAAATGGGTCAGGAAAAATGGCTTTGTATTTGGTGGTGAAACATTCTGAGTTCACAGCAAACAGGGGCAGAATCCTGTCACCCCAGAGTTCAAAATATAAGTTATCTGGAGCTGTGAAATACAGAATCATGGAATCATGGAATGGTTTGGGCTGGAGGGATCTTAAAGATCATCTTGTTCCACCCCTTGCCATGAGCAGGCACACCTTCCACTAGACCAGGTTGCTCAATGCCCCTCAATATATTGCTCAAAATGCTCAAATATTCCATATCTTTTTCCTAAAGAGTCATTGTATTTGGAATAGTTTGGTTTGACCGTTTTGTTTTCTTCCCTGGGGAATGTTTCTGAAGGAAAATCACACAGTGCAGGAACCTCAGGACGTCCGTGGGGCTGTAAAGGTGGTGGCAACATCCCTCTTTGGGCTGGAAAAGATGTTTGAAGTCACCTTCCTGTAGAGCCAGAAAAATGGAGACATTCTTGGTCTGTTCTGTGAATGTCCCCAGGGAAGAAGTCGAAGATGCTCTTTGTAGTGTCTGTGAGTGTAGCAAATGCTCATTAATCTCAGATAAGTAGGTATTTCCTTAGCAGGATTAAATAATAATAATAATAATAATAATAATAATAATAATAATAACAGCCTGTTCTTTGGGTTTCTTGGGTTCAGTGTGTCCCACAACAGAAGCCGTGGCTGAGGTGACCTCCCAGCTGCACCTCTATTATTATTATTATTATTATTATTATTATTTAAACCAAATACAAAACATACCAGAAACCCACCCAAACTCTAACACATTATTCCACCTACCACGAATTTCCTTTAACATCAGACTTTCTTTTCCTTTCATTACAGCTGCTAAATAGATTATTCATGAGGTCTCTCACCAACACTAAACCATCACTCTCATTGTTGCAGGACCCTCATTGGTGTCACACAGATTTTCAGCATATGCCCATATCTGATTATCTGTGGAAACAACCTTTCAATGGGCCTTTTTTATCGAGTCATTTTGCTGGTGAGCTTTGAGGGACTAATTTTAGTTTCATGACAGTAACAATAAGGTCAAGTTGTATTTCTGTCCCGCTTTTCACATCAGCAGACACTCCAGGGCCCTGCAGTCCCTGCTGCTGGCAGAGGGGCAGATGTAGGACAGCGTGGTTGTCACCAGGGAGTGGCCACGTCCCACGTCCAGCTCCCCATGGCAGCACTGACTCGAGAGCTGGGATGTTGTTCCCAAAAAACAAGACGTTCCCTGCTTTCTTTAACGCGTTTTTTATTTTTAACCAGTTGTGTTCCAAAGCTGAGAGGGGCACTGAGGGTGACAGATGGCACAGGGGCAGCGAGGGCAGCCTGGAAGGTTCTGGAGTGCAGAATAACCAATGGTCATCAGAACTGAGCCCCAGCTGCTGGATTTCCCCCAAATCCCTGGAATAAACAGGACCTGTGGAGAAGATCAGCCACCACACCTGTGTGCTTTAGCTTGGGGAAAAGGAGGCTCAGGAGGGACCTTCTCACTCTCTCCAACCCCCTGGAAGGAGGTTGTGACCAGGGGGGATCAGCATTTCCTACCAGGCAACAAGTGCCAGGAGGAGAGGAAATGGCCTCTGTTATCTCAGTGTTGAGCTGTGGGGACAAACCAACATTCACACACCTGCCTCTGGGTCCTTCTGCTCCCACAGGTGCCACGTGCGATCTCTGGTGTCAGAACCATCCTGACCCACAAATGTTCTCTGTCACTGTCATTTCCTGCCTGTTACCAGTGCCTGGGCACTGAGTTTGGCACTGACAAGGCAGAAGGAGCAGGTTACCTGTGTTTGGGGATTTCTCTTGAAATAGGAGGTTGGTCAGATGTGGGTTCAGCTTCAGAGTAAATTGAAATTTATTCAGAACTGCCCCGACTGTCCCACAGAAGAAATGAAATTCCAGCATTCAGTCTTTATACTCTTTATACTTTACTTGTATCTTTTGGAAATTTTCGCAGGTCGTGCTCCAGTAAACCTAGTTTTGCTTTTCAACTCAGTTGGAATTCCTGTTTCTTAAGTGCAGAAGAGGCTAATCATAGAGGAGAAAATAATTTGACTTGCTAATACTGGGCGAGAAAACATTTACTGCAACCACAAGTATTTTCAGGATGATGGAGTATCTCATGCTCATGAAAGCTGGGCTCTGGCGACGTGTTTGAGTAGGGAGGGCTGCACTTTCTAGCAGAGGAAACCCATGTAAGCTGTAGCAGGCAGTTCTCTGTATTCCTCCAAAGCTGGAGCAAAAAAATGTTGGCAAAGGAATCAAAATCCTCCTCTTTAGTCAAGTCTGCCACCAGGTTTCTTAGGCATGAACTCAGGAAAATCTTTATTAGGCATAAAAAAAACCAGAGGAGGAGATGTGTCTTGCAGACAGAAGGTGCATTCTGAGGTTATGGAAGGGATGAATTATATATACCTTAAGTCAAGCCATGCCTTTCCAGCTATTCTTCCCCATGGTTCCTGTTTGGCAGCCAGAGCTGCAGTGAAAAGTGGGATTTTTGTTGGGTGCTGCTCCCCCCGATGCCATCAGGGCTCAGTCATGAATGTGCACCGTGGGAGTCCCTCCCGTGCAGGAGGGTCCACAATGGGGTGGTTGTTGGCCTTGTTATCATAGTGGGGGCTCCTGTGCACAGTCCTGCTGCCTCATGTTTAATGGAGAGATGGCAAAGCTGCTCCCAAAAACGCCTCAACTACTTGTATTGTATGACAAATGTGTTTTTCTTTTCCCCTCCCCGTGTTTCGCTCCCCCCCTTTTTTCCTTTTTGCATGAAAAAGCTTCATTTTCATTCCATATGAATGTCCTTGCTTAGCAGTTGACTCCTCTTGGAAAAATCCCCAAACTTTTTTACCCTCTGTGTCCAGTGTTTTCGCTCCAGGACAAGGGGAAATGGCTTCAAACTGACAGAGTGTGGGTTTAGATTGGATATTAGGAGGAAAACCTTCCCTGGGAGGGTGGGGAGGCCCTGGCACAGGTTGCCCAGAGAAGCTGTGGCTGCCCCATCCCTGGAAGTGTCCAAGGCCAGGTTGGAAAGGGCTTGGAACAACCTGGGCTAGTGGAAGGTGTGGAAGGAGATGATCTTTAAGGGCCCTTCCAACCCAAACCATTCTGGGATTCTGAGATTACAAACTGCTGATGATTTGTTACCCCTGCAAAGGTGCTTTGCTGGGAGGTCACCTCAGCCACAGCTCCTGTTGTGAGACACACTGAACCCAAGAAACCCAAATACCAGGCAAACAGTTCTTGCCCAAACTTAGCTTGGCTTTAGCTTGATTTCTCTATTTTTTCTACCCCTCTAAAAATACACTGAGCCAGTTAAAGCAGTAAATGGTTAAAGGGAACCTCGGCCGCCCTCTGTGTTTTCTTCCCTCTCTCCAAAACTGAGAGATGAGCACTCCTGGCAGGCTGATCCCATAGAACATGTCAGGCTGCTCTCCCCTCCGTGCCTGTCCTGCAGGCAGTGTGGGTGTTCTCCCCTCAGCCCCACCTGAGCTCCCCGAGGGAGGTTTGGCTCTTCACCCTTCAGGCTTTGGGAAACTCCGTCCTGAGAGGAGATTGACTGATGTTCACCCGAGTGTTTCAGTGTGTTTTGTTCTGCTGTTTCCCCTTTTAGGTGACAGCGAGATTGTAAATAATATGTACGAGACCGACCCCGATCTCCTCGCGGGCGAAAGCGCAGAGGAGGAGACAGAGGACAGTATAATGTCCCCCATTCCCGTGGGACCTCCGTCACCCTTTCCCACCAGTGAGGACTTCACTCCCAAGGAGGGCTCACCTTATGAAGCTCCCGTCTACATTCCTGATGACATTCCAATCCCACCAGATTTTGAACTCAGAGAATCTTCGATCCCAGGGGCAGGGCTAGGGATTTGGGCCAAAAAGAAGATTGAAGTTGGGGAAAGATTTGGACCCTATATGACAGGACAGAGGAGCACATTAAAGGAAACAAACTTTGGATGGGAGGTAAGCGTGTGGAATGTGATCACCACATTCATTTCTCTTCTCTGCCAAGTGTCCCTGAGGCTGGACTGGGGCTGGTGGCCCGGGGACGGACGCGGTGACTTTGCCAGTGCCGCGTTTCCCTCCGTCGTTTTGCCCCCCCCCCCAATAACCTGAAGTGTTTAAAATCAGCAGAAATCCCTTTAAGATCCCTTCCTGGGCTACAAAAACCGCTCTGGCACCATTTTGGAAGGTTGGTTTTAAATGCTGTCGGGTCACTCCATCAAGTGTTGTCATTCCGAGGTTGTGTTCGGGACTTGTCGCGGAGGAGGGAATGGGATTAGTGGCACCGTGTTCTGTCGTTGGGGGTGTTACCTTTGACTCCCAGCCCTGTCAGCACTGCAGGGATCATTAACTGCTCAGAGGGAAATACCATGTACCCATTACCTGCCCAGATGTTCTCGAGTTCTTGTTCCGCAGCAGAGATGGAGAAATGTGAAAGTCATTTTTCCCTTAAGAGCTAAACACAAAAAAAGGGTGCTTGAGAGGGAAAACAGCTCTATCCCACAACTCACATCTTTCTCCCTGCTTTTCTGGCCTTGTCCCAGAAGTCATCTCCATCTCTTCTGCTCCTACATTCTTGATCTGAAAATGTCCCTATCCCTAATTATCCCGAAATGTAGGATATTCTGGGAGCAGTGAAGCGCAGCCTGGGAGTTCTGCTGTGTGTCACAGCCCTGTTCCAGCACATCCAGCATCCATTACACACTGTAGAATTCCTTCTCTCCAGTCCCAGTGCCCATCCCAACCCACCACACCCCTGCTGCCACGGGAGCTGCTGGTTGTTGGCCTAAGGAGGAGCTTTGTCTGGAGCAGAGAGGTTTCCCAACAGGACACCCAGGCTGTTGGATGCCTGTCCCTCAAAATAAGTGGAAGCTCAATTTTCCCTCCCTTTTCCCTGGGTGAAGCAGTGACTTGGCCTCTTTTCTCCTTCGACCACTGCTGATGTGAAGTGGTTTCCAAAATATTGGAGTTCAGGGTGGGAAGCAGCTCAGGATGGGACTGGAAGGCTCACTGGGGGGGTAAAGCCAGCAGTGCAGTCACAGAAGCCCTGTTTTCTTAGAAACCAGGGTCAGAAAGGCCAGACTGAAGCATTAACATCTGAAATTGTGTCTGATTATATTTACACTCTTGATTGTGAAGTCAGAAATCAGCGAGCAGTTGGATTCAGTGAAGCCCAAAGAAGTAGGTCCAGATGTTTTTGTTTACTTTTTCAATGTGTCTGAAGTGCAGGAAACAGCAAAAAACACTTGTTATAAGAACCAAACTCAATTGTGTTTTGTCGCTCTGCACCAGGGAATGTCTGAAGAGCTGAAACCAGGGTTTGGTTGAATGACTGAGTGGGGAGTTTCCTTTTCTTACTGTCTTAGTACAGGGAAAAGAGGGAAATTCAGCTCAGAGTTTTGATTCCCTCTGTTCCCTCCAGTGACATTCCTCAGAAGTTCATCTTGGTCTTGGCTTCTTTTGTGTGAATATCATTGCAGAATATTTAATTGGTGTGAGTGTGTGAGTTTCAAGACATGGGTTTTTAGGGGAGAAAAATCCCTGTTAATGTCCTGGCAATCCATGGTGTGGCTCAGGGAGGCTGCAGGTGGGAGGCAGCTGGAGATTCCCTGAGGAAGGTTCTGGTCACTCCGAGGTGTCTCTGAAGCTGGGCACAGGGTTTCTCTCTAGGAATGTGCAATATTGATTATTTGGAGGCTGCAAAGTGGAAGTGGCTCCTTCAGAAAGGTGAATTGCCTTTTTCTGACCCAAATATTGACAGGTGGCATTCGTTGGTTTCGCGTACCTTTTTTGTTTGTTGTTTTGTTTTCAGGCTGGTTTTTGGGGACACGGTGCAATCCTCCCTGGCTGTCAGAAGTCAGATCCAGTTTGGGAGATGCAAATCTTTTTTTTTCTGTGACCTTGGCCAAGCTTTGTCCTTGTGTTCTCTATTTCTGATAAAAGTTGGTGTTTGCATTCTGGTTTTCAGAACCATTCCCCACATCCCCTGGGCTCTGGGTGCCAGCCCTGATAGGAGCCCTTTCTATCAACGGGGTTGGCTTTGTGACACTGTTTGTTTTTGTGGTGTGATTGAACAAACTTTCCTTCTCCGAGGCACTTCTCACATTTCAGCTGTTCCTTTGTGCTCTGATTTGGCCGGGACTGTTTGTCCTCCATCAGGTGTCCTCAAACACTGTCCCCTCCCACCCTGACACTCTCTCTTGGACCCTGCTTGTACCTGCAGATACCTCTCCAAGTTTTCCACTTCCCAGTGTGTTTAAAGACAGTTCAGGCACCTGAACTCAGCACCTTCAGCATTTCACTTGGGCCAAACATCCAGGAATCCCTCCATGTGCTGAGCAGAACTCATGGAATAAATCCTGTGTGGGAGTTCCTGAGCTGTTCCCTTCGAGTGTGAGGTTGGAAAAGCCTCCAAGAGATGTTCTGGGCAGCTCTACCTGATGGCAGATTGCTGGGAAGTTGTAGCTTGGGATATGTTTCCATCCTCTGTCCATGAAATTGGGCAGGCAGGCAGTTGGCAGCGAGGGGAAAAAAAGGGAAGGGGAGGAGTTTTTTGTCACCCTGTAACTTATTGGCGTTTGCCTCTGTGTGCTGTTCTTTCCAGGAGTGATAAATCTAACAAATCTGGGGATTGCAGTACCATGAGAAGTGTTCCTTCTGCACTTGGACATTATTTTTTTGGTCAGCATTTCTCTGAAACTCGTAGTTTTGACTTGTAGTGACTCGTGGGTCAGATGCTGTTGTAAGACTTCCACACACAACTCCTCATTTGTGGCCAGTTGGGACATTACTGTGATACCTGAATTAACCCTTCTATTGGTATTTTTACTTCAGGAATAATATCTGCTCTTCACACCCAGTCCCTTCTCTATTCATACTTCCCAGTTGATTTCCTGCAATTTATACTCTTGATAATCCCACTTTGGGGGGTGCAAACCCCACCTCCCAAATCCTGAAAACCTGGTCTTCTTTTGTCTGTTTTTAGTAGTCATCAGTCCTGCAGTTTTAACAGTGCTTCTGCCTTTGCACAAAAACTTCTTGCCTTTTATCACAGTAATTTTATTGTCAGGCTTTGACTAAGCTGAGAGCACCACTGGAAGTGGAGCAGCTACAAAGTGAACATTCCTCAGCACCATCTGTCTTGCTGGAAGCTGCTGGGTTTGTTGTTCTCCAGGACGTGCTTCCCCATTAATATCTCTTTTCTTCTGATATCTGTATTCTAGAAAAAAATCAAATAACGTTTTGGGGGTTGGAAAACGTGCTGTATTAAGGGCTTTGGTTTGAAAATGGATTTCTCCCCTCTCTCCAGGCGTTAGCCCTTGCAGAAATAGCTTTCCCTTTTCAAACTCCAGTGAGGGCAGATTTGTGAAAATGAAAATAAAGCAGTTAATTGTACCCCAAGTCCTCAGGAAACACAGAGGAAACTTCCAAACCTCGTGTTTGGAGGCAGGGCCAGCTCTGTTTTCGTGTGAGCTGCTCTCTGCAGCCCTGGCTCTGATGTACAACTTCCAACTCCAGGAGGTACAAGAAGAATGTTATTTGCTGAAACTTTCAGGTTCACTTGTTATTTCTCCCAAAACATCAATGGGGATGCAGAATGCTGTGTCTTATTTGCCATATCTTGAAAAAAAAAAAAGACGTGTAATTATTTTTATTATGGAAGTTTTTCCTTTTGGACAGACAGGAGGGCCTGGGTTGTGACGGGGAGAACTGGTGCCCTGCTTTATCTGCAGCACAGCTCCACTATCTTCTTTCTTGATTTGCTTTGTGGAATATGCTTTTAAAAATATTCTTTAAATTAAACCACACCTCTCATTGAAGGGCTTTTTTGGCCATGGGATGGCAGGGAGTGACTCATGCTGGTGTCACAGAGCTCAGTGGGATGTGTCCCCTCCCAGGGGTGATTCAGCAGGACACTGAGCTGGGGGTTTTCCCCTGGGCCTCAGTCCCTGACACTGCTGATCATGTTTATCTCTCTTTTGATTCCTCAAAAGACACCACCCAAACCAAAAGCCTCGTGATTATTCAGTGAGATGTGACTGCATTTCCCCTGATGCTGCCGCTCCCCTGCCTCAGAGCACCCCAAATAAATCACCCTGGGTTTGTGCTTTACAGCCTCTGAGACCTAAAAAAAAATAAAATGATTACATAATGATTTATCACTTTGAATAAATAATGGTATTTATCATAATGCTGCTTATTTTGCTAATTGAGAGAAGAATGGGAACCTCATCCTGGAGGGAAGTTTAGCAACTGAATTGTAGGGAATTTGGAAGCAATGATGATTTTAGCTCAGTTTGCTTCGCAGGGTAAATACCATTGATAAATAATTACTAGTTCCTCTGTTTTAATTTATATTTTAGAGAGATTATTTGCTGAAGCACAAAGACTTCCCTCACCCCGAAGTGTTGGAGCCAGGCTGCTCCTTTACCCAGGAAAAATGAGTGCTTTCACTTCATACTGGAGGGTGAAGATAGAAACTGTCCCATGGAAGACAAATAACTGTGGAAAAAATAGGAGCCGACAGCTCCGGATGGAGCAGAATTCTGGCTCCACATCTGGGCCAGTGGAAAACTGCTGGGTCTTGAACATGCTTTATAGTGTCAGTGATTCACAGCAGTTCAACCTCCCCGTTCCCACAAAATAGGAGGTTTAAAGTTGAGCACGAGGGTCTTTTTCATTTCGTTTGTTTTTAGAAATGCTCGTAAGGGAAATTTACTTTGCATGTCCTGACCTTAAATGCTAAAGGGAGAACTATATTGTATTTCCTTGAGTCTTAAAAAATACTAGAATATATTTTTAAAAATATGTATTTTCAAGGTACTAAAATATCTGGGAAATATTAAAATAAGAAGGAGCCTCTGAGATTCTTCTAACTGTGGTGGTTTTGCTTCCCAGCTGAAAGAACGTGCAGAAATTCCCTCATTTCCCTTTAAAAGCTGGTATAGTTAAAGCAGTGT